ACTATCATAATGTAGGAGGAACATAAAGGAGCTTACATCCTGAGGTCACATACGGTGTGAGGAGGTAACCACTATCATAATGTAGGAGGAAACATAAAGGAGCGTTACATCCTGAGGTCACATACGGTGTGAGGAGGTAACCTCTATCATAACGTAGGAGGAAACATAAAGGAGCGTTACATCCTGAGGTCACATACGGTGTGAGGAGGTAACCTCTATCATAATGTAGGAGGAAACATAAAGGAGCGTTACATCCTGAGGTCACATACGGTGTGAGGAGGTAACCACTATCATAATGTAGGAGGAAACATAAAGGAGCATCACATCCTGAGGTCACATACAGTGTGAGGAGGTAACCACTATCATAATGTAGGAGGAAACATAAAGGAGCATTACATCCTGAGGTCACATACGGTGTGAGGAGGTAACCACTATCATAACGTAGGAGGAAACATAAAGGAGCGTTACATCCTGAGGTCACATACAGTGTGAGGAGGTAACCTCTATCATAATGTAGGAGGAAACATAAAGGAGCATCACATCCTGAGGTCACATACGGTGTGAGGAGGTAACCTCTATCATAATGTAGGAGGAAACATAAAGGAGCATCACATCCTGAGGTCACATACGGTGTGAGGAGGTAACCTCTATCATAATGTAGGAGGAAACATAAAGGAGCGTTACATCCTGAGGTCACATACAGTGTGAGGAGGTAACCACTATCATAATGTAGGAGGAAACATAAAGGAGCGTTACATCCTGAGGTCACATACGGTGTGAGGAGGTAACCACTATCATAATGTAGGAGGAAACATAAAGGAGCGTTACATCCTGAGGTCACATACAGTGTGAGGAGGTAACCACTATCATAATGTAGGAGGAAACATAAAGGAGCATCACATCCTGAGGTCACATACAGTGTGAGGAGGTAACCACTATCATAATGTAGGAGGAAACATAAAGGAGCGTTACATCCTGAGGTCACATACGGTGTGAGGAGGTAACCACTATCATAATGTAGGAGGAAACATAAAGGAGCGTACATCCTGAGGTCACATACGGTGTGAGGAGGTAACCACTATCATAATGTAGGAGGAAACATAAAGGAGCGTTACATCCTGAGGTCACATACGGTGTGAGGAGGTAACCTCTATCATAATGTAGGAGGAAACATAAAGGAGCGTTACATCCTGAGGTCACATACGGTGTGAGGAGGTAACCACTATCATAATGTAGGAGGAAACATAAAGGAGCGTTACATCCTGAGGTCACATACAGTGTGAGGAGGTAACCTCTATCATAACGTAGGAGGAAACATAAAGGAGCGTTACATCCTGAGGTCACATACAGTGTGAGGAGGTAACCACTATCATAATGTAGGAGGAAACATAAAGGAGCATCACATCCTGAGGTCACATACGGTGTGAGGAGGTAACCACTATCATAATGTAGGAGGAAACATAAAGGAGCGTTACATCCTGAGGTCACATACGGTGTGAGGAGGTAACCACTATCATAATGTAGGAGGAAAACCCTAAGGAGCGTTAAATCCTGAGGTCACATACGGTGTGAGAGGTCACCACTTATCATAATGTAGGAGGAAACATAAGACGCATCACATCCTGAGGTCCACATCACGGTGTGAGGAGGTAACCACATAGCGAATGTCGGAGGAAACATAAAGTGCGCGTTCACATCCTGAGGTACATCCGGTGGTGAGAGAGGTAACCACTATCATAATGTAGGAGGAAACATAAAGGAGCGGTTACATCCTGAGAGTCACATACGGTGTGAGGAGGTAGACGGTTTTTAACATTTGAAATAATGCTTTGTGCAAAAAAGATATGTATCAAACGCTTCAACCTACATTTTTCAAATGTTAAAAAATATATATTTATATACAAATGTAAGCTGTGCATTGTACTACCGGCAACAGTCATTACATCCTGAGGTCACAGATATTTTAATATTGCAGAAACCACCTACAGTAGATGCTGCTAGTTTTATTCTAAGAACAATTCAGAGACCAAGTTGAATTTAATATGTAAAAATTAAAACAAAAAATTCTGTAAAAAAATCAAAAATTCTGTAAAAAGTCAACATTCTGAAAAAAATCTAATTCTGAAAAAAAAAAAAATCTGAGAAAAGTCCAAATTATGTAAAAAGTAAAAATTCTGAAATAAAATCAGTATTCTGGATCACTGTACAAAATATATGTATTGAAGGTTTCACCCTGCGCGTCGCTGGAGCTGGACTTACGATCAGAACCACATGATGACGCGGCTGTCCCTGCAGGAAGATGGTGACTCATGTAGTGCACCTCCTTCCTGTTCACCTGCTGCAACATGCAGGGATCACACAGTGCCTGGCTGACGAGGAGGCCTTTCATACCCGATGTGTTGGACATAATTAATAAATGAAATTGGTGCCCTCTCAAATAAAAATAAAATATGAAAATGAAAAAATAATTCCACTTTTTAATAACCCACGTGACATTCTTTTTTTGATTTATCATTTTGAAATTAAACATTGTTCATGTCATACATACTGATATTCCACTGGCTTATAAATACATATGTTAGCCCTTTTTTGGAGTGAAACAAATAGTACAGTTATTCATTTAGTTTTTACGGACCAATAAAAAAATGCTCCTACTCTTTTACGTCATGACGTCATCGCCCGCACGCCTCGGTCCCGACGTCACGACACAGCGGTGTAGGATGTAGCTCAGGACGTGGCTAACGAGCTACTAGTTACAGTAGGACGTCAGGAAAATCAAAAACCTCGGGATTAGGATCTGTTTCACTACATGTTCAAGTAGGTATACCATTCCGTAATGATGTGTTCCCCTAAGGTGGCGGGTTGTGATGAGACATTTGTCGGTGTAGTTTCCTCAGACTGAGCTCTGTCTGGTTAGCTCGATGCTAACATCCAGAGGAAATCTAGTTAGCATGCGTTAGCTTGATGCTAACATCTATAGGAAACTAACGGGTATCTGGTTAACAGGCGTTAGCTTGATGCTAACATCCATAGGAAATCAACGGCTATCTGTTAGCATGTGTTAGCTTGATGGTAACATCCAGAGCAAACCCAGTTAGCAAGCGTGAATCAGACTCAGAATACCTTTCATTATTTCCACAGCGGCGAAATGTACTGTAGCATAGCAGGTTAAAAAAAGGCCAGCATATTAAAGTATTGCCACCATAGAAATACGTTTCTGGACATCTATGGAAATATGTATAGGATCGTACAGTGTTTATATTACACAATATTTCAACAGTTAGGTGCATTTAATTAATTACCAGGAAACTGCACTGACACCGGTCAAAGTCAAACAGAAGGGTGTTAAATCGAGATGACTGCACTTTATCTTATTATTAACATACAGGCACTGAAATATAGTGAAATGTGTCACAGAATCACATCATAGACGTGGCTAACGTTAGCATTGGTGGTTAGCATGTGTGCATGCAGAGCGCGATGGATGTGCAGCCAGGTGTGTGTGTGTGTGTCTGAAACCAGGTCAGCTGTATATGAATATATATTTATACACACAGTCTCCTGTCAGTGTCAGCAGGAGGTGGTTCACATGTTGGAGGGTTAACCACCTCCTCTCTGGGCTCGGTGTGTTCCCTGTAAGGCTCCTTTCATTCATCTAGTAATTACACTAAATGTACTTTTTAAAAAGCATGTCCCTCTCGGTTTAGCTTCCTGTAAGGTCATCCCGGTAAAGTAAGTAAATACTGCTATATTTTACTGTTTTTGTAACATATTTTATGCTATTATAGTTTTATTAAAATAGTTTTCTATCTGTTTTTAATTTTAGTTTTACTTTTATGTATCCACAACGACACCAAATCAAATTCCTCGTACATGTCAACCTACCTGGTGATAAACCTGTTTCTGAAGTACTGAGTATGAGGGAAAAGCATCTGATTCAAAGGTGTGTTGTAATTTGATCTTTAGGCCATTTTAGTATTCCTGTAACCATGTGTTTCTTGTTCTGTGGGTTAATGAGCATAACTCACCTCTTGGTGTCAGCCATGGGAGGGTTTTCTGAACAACCCCACCAGGCACAGCTGACCAAATGTCACGTAATAACACGTGTACCAAACAGAAAGAGGCTCAGAACGAGAAATACACAGACACCAAATGGCATCAAGGACACACACTACTGCAAATACTGTGTGTCTTGGTGGGGCATGTCTGTCTCTGTCCTAAAATCAGAGATCCCGCACAGAGGAAACATTATTATTATTATGACATCTTACCTAGCCATCAACTATCCAATATTGTTTTTTAAAACTGAATAATCAATGTGAATATCATTTCTTTTTTGCAGGGCGGGTGTGTGTCTCTTATCCCGGACAGATTGGTTCTGCCTGATGTCGCCGTTTTACCTCCAGAGCTGAATGGAAGCATTTCAGGCCTTTTGTGAGTGAGGTAGGCTCCGCGTGTTTGTGTAGATACTATAAGTCTTTACATCTATCTTCAGTCCCATGAGGATGTCTAAATGTCACCTGTGTGTTTCAGGAGGCTGTGTATCCCAGGTATGTACCATGGGGTACGACATTACGAGGTTCCAAGGGGAGGTGGATGAAGACCTGCTGTGCCCCATCTGCAGTGGAGTGCTGGAAGAACCAGTGCAGGTCAGTTCAAGATAAGAAGTACTTTATTCACCCCAATTTGGGACATGTTTGCGTGAAAGGAGGGGGGTCCAAACCTTTTTCACCGAGGGCCACATACAGAAAAACATACGAAGGGCTGGGCCGCTCACTAGAGATATATTACCTCATAAGTTAAGTTGGAAAAAAAAGCTCTCCAGAGGGTTTGAGTTATTGTGTAGGCGGCTCATTCCTTATTTCATAGGAGGAAATATGAAGGGTTTATTTCAAGCTTGTTGTGGAAATAAGTTACTGGGCTTTTTTCTTATCAACTTAGATTTGTTAGGACATGTTTCCAACTTGAATTAACACATGAATACTGTGTAATGTATTTGAACGTATATATTTAAGATGTACAATATAAGACAAGCCGAAGTTTCCTTTGTGGGCCATATTTCACTATACTTTCTTAATTAGCTGAAGGCCGATTCAAAATGTCCCGCGGGCCGTAGTTTGGACACCCCTGCGTTAGAGGGATGATCTGACGGAGGTGCAGTGTGTGTGTGTGTCACCTGCAGTAGAAGCAGACAGCTGTGGATCTACTTTACACACTTATCCTATATGAAGGATATGTTCCCCGCTCTACCTTTACCTGCCTCTTCCACCTGAAGCCAAAGACACCAGAGATGCTTTTCTGCCTCGTCAGTTTCTTTGTGATCTTTTTAGGTTTCAGTGTTTTTTTGAAGGGTTAGTTTGATATGGAGGCAGCGACCAGCAATGGAAACGTTGTCATGTTGCCGTTGTTCAGCATGGAAACATTCATTAGCTAACAATGACATTATTGTTCTATTAATATAAAGGGAGGTCAGGTACTCTTTAAAACAGCTGCTAGTTATGGGTACTTTTTACTGAAGGACATTTCAAAGCCTCTTTACTTTTACTTGAGTAAAGAAGTTTAGTCAGTACTTCTACTTTCACCAGAGTATTTTTAAACACGAGTATCTGTACTTCTACTTGAGCAAAGGATGTGTGTACTTCTACTTGAGTGAAGGATGTGTGTACTTCTACTTGAGCGAAGGATGTGTGGACTCTTGCCATCTCTGCTTCCTCACACAAACACTAAAAAACAAACCTGTGGTATCGTTGCTGTTCTAACGATGGTCTCTCCCCCCCCCAGGCTCCTCACTGCGAGCATGCCTTCTGTAACGCCTGTATAACCCAGTGGTTTGCGCAGCAGCAGATATGTCCCGTGGACCGCACCGTGGTGACGCTGGCTCACCTGCGGCCCGTGCCCCGCATCATGCGTAACATGCTGTCCAAACTGCAGATCAGCTGCGACAACGCGGGCTTCGGCTGCGGCGCCACGCTGCGCCTGGACCAGCTGACGTCACACCTCAAAGACTGCCAGCACAACCCCAAGAGACCCGTGAGCTGCGTGGAGGGCTGCGGGTGAGGAGAGAGCACTGCACTCACACTGAGGGGCACGGTTAGGGGTTAAAGTATATACATTGTTTTTAAAGCTACTGACCCAGAATCAGCACTTCAGCAACAGGGCTGAAACAGAGGGGGCTAGAATGGTCTGTTTGATATTTTGAGCAAAAGGTTTAATTAAAATATGAAACCACAACCATCACTTGTCAGACCGAGCCGCCCGTCAGCAGTGATGTGTTTCTGTGTTTCAGAGAAACATTTATTTGAAACTCCCGCGCCTCGTGTCGTACCTGGAAGTCCGGTCTTCCTTTTTAACATCAAGAAAAGTTGCCAAATATCTGTATCTGGTTTTGTTGCTCCTTTTTCGTGAGATAAAAAGTCAAATATGTATATAAACATAAGAAGTTATTAACAACAATGTTCTGAAAACATTTAAAGTTTGAAGTGTCCATATTAATGAGGACCAAAGAGCCGGATTAGAAAACCTCTTCTTACATTAAATGTTTTCTAACGGCTCCAAACACTGGAGGTAAGTTTGAGAGTCAAAGTCAACTTTATGTCAATCTTTCAGTTTGTGTGTACATAGAGATCGACATACCGTTTCCTACAATCCCGAATACAAAATAAAAATATGTATCCTATATATACACAATCAACAGACACACTAAGTCACTTAGTAAATGTACATTAGTGTAAGATTGTCCATAGCAGCGTAAAAAAGTGTCTGGAAAAGTATTAACAAAGATGGAGGTTCTACCATTTATCCACGGCGTCCCGGTAGAGGTGATGGTAGTACACTTCTTGAACAGTCTGATATTGAACCCGGTGTTCCTCCTCCTGCAGGCTGGAGATGCCCAAAGACGAGGTTCCTAACCACAACTGCATCAAACACTTGCGGACGGTGGTCGGTCAGCAGCAGACCAGGATCTCAGACCTGGAGAAGACCGTGACGGAGCACAAACACCAGCTGGGGGAGCAGGTGAGGACATATATATATGTTTTACATTACATTCAAGATTTCATAACACCAAGAAACACAATTTGACTTAAATGAGAGTACTAGGGCTGCACGATATTGAAAAAAACTGACATTGCGATTTTTTTTTCCTGCGATATATATTGCGTTTTTTGTAACTATATTTAACCGGATGACGGGTTTGAGTCACGGACGTCTGGATCTTAACTGGTTGACTCATCATACCTTAAGTCATGATCTAACTTGTCATCATAATGCATGATGCTTACCCTCAAAGGGGGTTCACCTGTGAAGACGAGAAGAACCTTTTTGGATCCAAAATAGTTCCAGATGGCAGATGTTGCTTTTCTTTTTGGAAGTAAATCTTAATTCTCTCCGGTATTGTCCTCCTGTGCCTCGCTCATTTTTCACCGGTGTTTTGATGGTCTGCAAACTAGCGGGGCGGGGCCTGCTGTGATCTGATCAAGAGTGGTTGTGATTGGGGGTTTGCTGTGCATGCAGAGCCGGCATGTCACTCACTCAAGAACCCCTGACATGAGAGCCGTGCAAGTTTCCCTTTAGTAGCAAGCAGCAAAATAATTGTAACATGACGTGTTTGAGTTAATTCACCTACTTAAAGGTGGGGTAGGTCATTTGTTTCTCAAACGTACCTACCCCACCTTTAATATCGCACGTCCTAAAATGAAAAAATGAAAGAAAAAAAAAATATATATTATAAAAAATTCATAAAATCGCACGTCCCTGCGGTGAATATCGTGAATATCGCGCATATCGCGGTTATCGCCATGACACGATATATCGTTCAGCCCTAGATATTACCAATTAATACTTCCTCCCCACTCATTTTCTCAAAACAAACAAACACTGACCAATATTATATTTGCACGTTTTTCACAGCCAGTGTTGGATATCATCCCACGTTTTTAAAATGTTATAACAATTCCAAACGGCATGTATAGGTCACTCTATTTCTAGCTTCAGTGCCTTTAGTGAAACGCCTCTCTGAACTCGATGCTGTTGTCTTGCAGAAGCGGGACATCCAGCTGCTGAAGGCGTACATGAGGGCGATCCGCAGCGCCAACCCCAACCTGCAGAACCTGGAGGAGAGCATCGAGTACAACGAGATCCTCGAGTGAGTCTTCACCCTCTCTCCGGGGTTATTCTCAGGTTCACTCTGTCAGGGAGTGGAGGAGGAGGAGGAGGAGTCAGGGTACCTTTCCTCGTCCACAGAGGGGAACATTGTTACAGCAAAGAGCCACAGACCGCTCAATATCAATCAAGAAGCATACAAATATCAAAAGATAAAACTGGATAAAAATCCAGTAACAGTTTAGAGCAGGGCTATTCAATTAGTTTGGAATGGGGCCGGTTGATGAACATGATCCAAAGCAAGGAGCCGGGAAAAAGGTGCTTGAAATATGAGCTTCAGATGCAGTAAATACTACCACAGCACAGTGGAGTGCATGTATTATATATTAAATCAACTACATAGCCCCAAGGCCTTCATAGATCTAAGGTGCGTTCACACCTGCCGTTTATAGTCCGGTTGAATCGAACCCTGGTGCGTTTAGCCGCTTGGTGCGGTTCGTTTGGGTCGGTGTGAACACAGACCTCTGAAGTGAACTAAACAACCGGACTCTGGTCCGCTAAAACAGGTGGTCTCGGAGCGCTTGCTAGTGAACTCTGGAGCGGTTCATGGTGTGAACGCAGTCCGCACCAAAACATAGGAAGCGTAGTATTTACGAGTCACAAGAACGCGGATGTCTTCAAAATCTTTAGCGAAAGAGTCTTTCAAGACATCCGCGGTTGTTTAGTTAAAGAGTGAAGCAGAATGAATTGTTGAACAGAGTCGTGTAAATTCTCCGTCAACTCCATAAAAGTAGGAACACCTGTCGTCGGTGAAACGCCCTCCTGACTGCAGAACGTCTCATTATATGTGTTATAATGTTTTTTAACGGACGTTGTCTGATTATATAATCATATGCGCGGGCCGCTAGAGTCTGTTGATCTCCAGACTAACAGCAGCATGAGAATAACATGCCGAAGGTGCCGATGCTCCATGGCGGAGGCTCCGGTAGAAATTGCCGGGATTTGCGTTGTTACCCCCTTAATGTCTGACCAATGGGTGAACAGCATTTCCGAGCACATGACTTGTGTTTAAAGTTTATAGTCCGTTTGAGTTTTGCCGTGTGAACGCAAACCGAACCTTCTGGAAGATGAAGCAATGGAACAAACTGTGGTCTGGGGAGAAGCGGACTATTAGGTGTGAACGCATCCTAAATGAACTCAGTAGGCCGACATGTGAAGCTGATTTAACAATCTTTTTCATTTAGGTGAAATGATGTAATTTCACGCAGCGATGCAATCAATGACAGTTTGTCACTACAGTAGCTCGTAGGTGGGTTCAAAACCCGAGCCCGCAGAAGTTTTTAGGCATTGTCTTCCGCTCTCTCTCAATTTAACACCCTCTCTGGAATAAAGGCACTCTGGCCCAAAAAGAATAATAAAACAAGTAATTAGTTTTTACCATTATACTCAAAGGGCCAGTCCATATCACCGCCGGGTTTGTCCCGCGGGCCGCCGATTGGATATCCCTGGTTAGAGAGGTAGCAGCCAGGTGGAAGACTTAAAGGTGGAAGTATATATAACAGGAGTGTTATAGTCTTTGTGTCCGTGAGACACCGCGGGTGCTTATCAGAGTTATTGTGGCTAAAAAAAAAAACAGGCAACAAAGGAGCTCGGAAAATATGTTTACCCTTAGAAAAAAACTACACATTTTAAATTGTAAAATTGTCAGAAAAAGCTTGAATACTCTTTCAGGTTAACTCGGGTATCTCTGAAACGATGGAAAGAAAAAATATCAAAAGGTAATTGTTTCTAAACTTGAATGTTTTAATTCATAAATGATATCATATTTATAATATCACATTTCTTATCTCGCAAATGTATTAATATAATGTATTAAACTGATCCAGGTCCAATGGGAGGGGAGAGAGTATGGACGACAATATTGACGTATTTTCTCGCACATTTATGATTAAATAACAGAAGACATTATTTTTTCTTATGTTTGAGTTTGAATTCGTGACTTTGATTTCAGATGCTTTTTTATATTTGTATTGAAAATGTTACATTAGAGAATTTATGGCATTTCTTAGTATTTAATATTATCATCATTTTACCCCCTTGCGTTTCCCTCAAATAGTTTACAAGTTTTTTTCTTTGTAAATATCCAAGTTTTTTTCTTACAAATGTCTCCCTAACTCCCTCCTCTTCCTCCTCCTCCTCTTCCTCCTCCTCTTCCTCGGAGATAATATTAAGTTATTTATATATAAGTTATTTCTTGTTAAAATAGAGCATTAATCTGATTACGACATTTCTTCCTATTTAATAGGAATCGTAACCTTTCCCCGAAGATCTTCCAGAAAATAGTGTTTTACTTTTCCTTTCTTTCTTGCAAATGTCTCCCTAACTCCCTCCTCTTCCTCTCCCCCCTCCTCCTCCTCCTCAGGTGGGTGAACTCCATGCAGCCGGCGCGGGTCACTCGTTGGGGGGGGATGATCTCCACTCCGGACGCCGTGCTGCAGGCGGTCATCAAGCGCTCTCTGATCGACAGCGGCTGCCCGCTCTCCATCGTCAACGACCTGATCGAGAACGCCCACGAGAGGAACTGGCCTCAGGGCCTCGCCACGCTGGAGACGCGGCAGATGAACCGGCGATACTACGAGAACTACGTGGCCAAGCGGATCCCCGGGAAGCAGGCGGTGGTGGTGATGGCCTGCGAGAACCAGCACATGGGCGAAGACATGATCCTGGAGCCCGGACTCGTCATGATCTTCGCTCACGGAGTCGAGGAGATCTTGTAATGAAGACGACGAATTCCTGATCTGAATCCTGGCTGATTTAACCCTTCCTGTCGTGTTCGATTCTCTCCTCGCCTCACTGGTGTTCCCGGGGGCGTTTAACAGCTCTTACAGTAACACAGGAAACACTTATCATGTTATTCAACGCCCTTGTAGACTGGTTTACAGTGCCGTGGACAGTCCCCATTAATCGACTGTCACAAAAAACACTTAGTGGAGCAGCTAGTTTCCAGCTGTTGCCCCGGGCCAGACGATAAAAGACAGCTTTTTAAAATCTCAACACATCGACAGCATTGGTTATAAAGAAAACGATGTGTTTTAACTGATCTTACATTAACACAGAAAGCACTAATCACGACCAAATGTTATTCAACTCCCGTCAGTGTCTCAGACGGCTGGTCACATGAATAACTGCAGAGGATACACGCTGGAGATCTGTGGATGTATCGAACATAACAGACTAGCTGCAGAGTCTTATCGTGAACCCACAAATGTTGAGGACCCCAACGTTTTATCTTCGAAATGTACAGTACGGGTCCCGAGCACCTAGAAGCTGCCGGATGCTAACCTGCATATGTTGGGCAATTTGTATAAGTAGCACAAGTTGTGTTAATTATAGCCTATGGCGGACAATAGTTGTTAAATGTCTTTAGAGTAGTTTTGGGGGTTCTTGAGGATGTCGACTCCATTTCTGACATTTTTAGGATCATGAAGGGCAGTTTAAACCAGAAAGTAGACATATTTGTTCACTGATGTGATGAATTTGGGGTCGATTTTAAGTTTTAGGAGACTCGAAACTGCCATTTATGATCCTTAACATGTCAGACGTTGATAAAGCATCCTCAATAACATCTCAAGTCACTCCAAAATTGTCCAAATCAGCCAAGACATGTTTTAGCCATTGTGTGAATATGCTAGTTAACGCAACCTATGATAATTGAGCAAATTGCCCGACATATGCAGGTTAGCATCCGGCAGCTTCTATGCGCTGGGGACGTGTACATTTCTATCATAACACTTTGTGGCACCCTGCTGGAGACTAGACTGTAATTCAGGGTTACCCATTCATTCCTATGGGGGCATTTTTAAACCGGGAACATCGCAGGTGTAACTAAGACCGTGTTCGAATGCCTGCTGTGGAGGAAGTCACACGGCCTCGAACAGATCAAATGTTAAACACTATATTAACGATGGAAGTAGATCCGAACACGACGGGGGGGTTCAAATGAAGAGGCTCTGCTCAGCTTCATGCCTTTGCCTTAAAGAAGGACACACTATGAACCTGACTGAAAGAAAAGACTGGTCCCTGTTTACAAGGTTTGTATGTTGGTGCATTGTTTGATCTGATTGTCCTCATATAGTAATAAGCTTGAAAAAGAAACCCCCGTTGAATGCGCTCAGTTGTATAAATGCTTGTAAATACAAATACTATATTGAATTCTAAATGTCTCTCCTTCCTCTCTGTATAATGCGTTTCTGTGAGTCGGCGTTTCTTTTCCGCAGGACGATGACTCGAAGGTTTTTCTCGCGCTCGCTTCAGTTTCCTGCGAGCATTTCACCACAGGACGTTCTTCTGAGTTTAGATTGTCTGAACCTCCTGTGCCATTTGGTTTATTTATTGTGTTGCCTTTTACACACACATGCTTGAAGATGTGATGTCTGGAAATCTGCCTTTCGGTGCATTTGAAGTTCATGCAGGAAGAAGAAATGAGGATCTGTGTTTTTCTTTGTGGCCTCAGATTGTAAATATGGTCTGTTCTTTGGGTCCAGTGGATGTTAAATTTGAAGTTTAACATTTCTGATGAGTTTTATTTGACAAATGGTAATCATGATTCACTTTATATCGACTTCTCACGTCACTGCCGAGCGTCAGAGACTGTCAAGTATTTGTAAAATCACTCTAAAGGCTTTCTGAGAGTTCAACTCTGCTGTGTTTAAAGTAAACAGGAAGTTTGTTTTGTGCCCTTTTTATTTTTTAATATTCCCCCTCTTAATGTTTCTGTTTGTTTTGTGTCTGTTATGTACCGTGTTGTACAGACAAAGTAATAAAACATGTCAACTCAAAAGGATGTGTTTTTCTTGCCAATAATAATAAAAATAATAAATGCAGTTCCTTATTCTTCCACCGCGTGTCGTCAGAGATCTGCAGATGAAACGCCATGCAAGAGAATATTCTTATCAAGTCTTGCATTTGGAAGAAATTTACAAGAAAAATAACTAGATTTGTTATGAAGTTGTATCGCTGTTTATCGTCTACAGTACAATCTGACTTTTTATGGTCATAAATGTCGGAATATTTCGCCCTACATGTTAACCTTTCGCCCTCTGACGCAGATGCCCTAACCCTCGAGCAGCCGCTATCTCCCTAAGGAGGGGCTGCCCTAGCAAGTTGTTGATGTCACCAGTTTGTGACCGGGCAGCTGTCGGTCAAAGATAGTTATTGTTGTGGGACACCTGGAACACATCCTTCTCGGGGTGGAGATGACCCCGAGCCATAAGAGACAACAACTGTGATTCAGGGTCCTCAGCTGTTTAGTCTATCTATTGAAGAATGTTGGTTATTACACTCTGAACTAGTTAAAACCTGGAGCTACAGGAGGGCTCTTCAGGATGTGTGGTCAGACCGTGGCCCGTGACATGTCTTGTGAATTCTCCGGCCGAAACTCCAAATAAACCGTCAGTGTTTGCCATCAAAGCTGCAGCTCTCTGAGTCCTGACTCCATCAGAGCTCCAGCTCTCATCGTGTCTCTCTGAGTCCTGACTCCATCAAAGCTCCAGCTCTCCTCGTGTCTCTCTGAGTCCTGACTCCATCAGAGCTCCAGCTCTCCTCGTGTCTCTCTGAGTCCTGACTCCATCAGAGCTCCAGCTCTCCTCGTGTCTCTCTGAGTCCTGACTCCATCAGAGCTCCAGCTCTCCTCGTGTCTCTCTGAGTCCTGACTCCATCAGAGCTCCAGCTCTCCTCGTGTCTCTCTGAGTCCTGACTCCATCAAAGCTCCAGCTCTCCTCGTGTCTCTCTGAGTCCTGACTCCATCAGAGCTCCAGCTCTCCTCGTGTCTCTCTGAGTCCTGACTCCATCAGAGCTCCAGCTCTCCTCGTGTCTCTCTGAGTCCTGACTCCGTCAAAGCTCCAGCTCTCCTCGTGTGTCTCTGAGTCCTGACTCCATCAGAGCTCCAGCTCTCCTCGTGTCTCTCTGAGTCCTGACTCCATCAAAGCTCCAGCTCTCCTCGTGTCTCTCTGAGTCCTGACTCCATCAGAGCTCCAGCTCTCCTCGTCTCTCTGAGTCCTGACTCCATCAGAGCTCCAGCTCTCCTCGTGTCTCTCTGAGTCCTGACTCCATCAGAGCTCCAGCTCTCCTCGTCTCTCTGAGTCCTGACTCCATCAAAGCTCCAGCTCTCCTCGTGTCTCTCTGAGTCCTGACTCCATCAGAGCTCCAGCTCTCCTCGTGTCTCTCTGAGTCCTGACTCCATCAAAGCTCCAGCTCTCCTCGTGTCTCTCTGAGTCCTGACTCCATCAAAGCTCCAGCTCTCCTCGTGTCTCTTTGAGTCCTGACTCCATCAGAGCTCCAGCTCTCCTCGTGTCTCTCTGAGTCCTGAATCCATCAGAGCTCCAGCTCTCCTCGTGTCTCTCTGAGTCCTGACTCCATCAAAGCTCCAGCTCTCCTCGTGTCTCTTTGAGTCCTGACTCCATCAGAGCTTCAGCTCTCCTTGTGTCTCTCTGAGTCCTGACTCCATCAGAGCTCCAGCTCTCCTCGTGTCTCTCTGAGTCCTGACTCCATCAAAGCTCCAGCTCTCCTCGTTTCTCTCTGAGTCCTGACTCCATCAGAGCTCCAGCTCTCCTCGTGTTTCTCTGAGTCCTGACTCCATCAGAGCTCCAGCTCTCCTCGTGTCTCTCTGAGTCCTGACTCCATCAAAGCTCCAGCTCTCCTCGTGTCTCTCTGAGTCCTGACTCCATCAAAGCTCCAGCTCTCCTCGTGTCTCTCTGAGTCCTGACTCCATCAAAGCTCCAGCTCTCCTCGTGTCTCTCTGAGTCCTGACTCCATCAGAGCTCCAGCTCTCCTCGTGTCTCTCTGAGTCCTGACTCCATCAGAGCTCCAGCTCTCCTCGTGTCTCTCTGAGTCCTGACTCCATCAGAGCTCCAGCTCTCCTCGTGTCTCTCTGAGTCCTGACTCCATCAGAGCTCCAGCTCTCCTCGTCTCTCTGAGTCCTGACTCCATCAGAGCTCCAGCTCTCCTCGTGTCTCTCTGAGTCCTGACTCCATCAGAGCTCCAGCTCTCCTCGTCTCTCTGAGTCCTGACTCCATCAAAGCTCCAGCTCTCCTCGTGTCTCTCTGAGTCCTGACTCCATCAGAGCTCCAGCTCTCTTCGTGTCTCTCTGAGTCCTGACTCCATCAGAGCTCCAGCTCTCCTCGTGTCTCTCTGAGTCCTGACTCCATCAAAGCTCCAGCTCTCCTCGTGTCTCTCTGAGTCCTGACTCCATCAAAGCTCCAGCTCTCCTCGTGTCTCTTTGAGTCCTGACTCCATCAGAGCTCCAGCTCTCCTCGTGTCTCTCTGAGTCCTGAATCCATCAGAGCTCCAGCTCTCCTCGTGTCTCTCTGAGTCCTGACTCCATCAAAGCTCCAGCTCTCCTCGTGTCTCTCTGAGTCCTGACTCCATCAAAGCTCCAGCTCTCCTCGTGTCTCTCTGAGTCCTGACTCCATCAGAGCTCCAGCTCTCCTCGTGTCTCTCTGAGTCCTGACTCCATCAAAGCTCCAGCTCTCCTCGTGTCTCTCTGAGTCCTGACTCCATCAGAGCTCCAGCTCTCCTCGTGTCTCTTTGAGTCCTGACTCCATCAGAGCTCCAGCTCTCCTCGTCTCTCTGAGTCCTGACTCCATCAAAGCTCCAGCTCTCCTCGTGTCTCTCTGAGTCCTGACTCCATCAAAGCTCCAGCTCTCCTCGTGTCTCCCTGAGTCCTGACTCCATCAAAGCTCCAGCTCTCCTCGTGTCTCTCTGAGTCCTGACTCCATCAAAGCTCCAGCTCTCCTCGTGTCTCTCTGAGTCCTGACTCCATCAAAGCTCCAGCTCTCCTCGTGTCTCTCTGAGTCCTGACTCCATCAAAGCTCCAGCTCTCCTCGTGTCTCTCTGAGTCCTGACTCCAATTGCTTCAGAAGTTTCCCACACAAAAAATGTTTGGAAAAAAATAAAAATAAACTTTAAAGAAATGCATTTGTGTAAAACAAATTTTAAAAGTATATTTTTACAAGAAAATATTAATATTCTTTAAGAGTAAAACAAATTAATTAGTAAATTAAGAAGGAAATACTTAGAATAGTATACTCTGTTATAAAGTCATACATTTGTACTACATTTTTTTTTTTTAATAAGTCACATTTACAAAAACATTGAACAGTAAAATACTTGATTTAACAGGAAGTAACCCACACATTTCAAGACAGAAATGTAAGTATCAGTCTCTGATATAAAACCATACATTTGCTCAATAAAGAACACTAATTTACAAGAATATAATATTTAACAACAACAAATTAAAATTAAAAAAACCCTTCTTCCTCCTCCTCTTCCTTCTCCTTACATTTTCCGTAAAATGTAGGTGTTAGATTTATGAGAAACACAATTGAATATTCTCTTAAAGTCTTTTTTAAATTACGTCATAGCGCTTCATAACGGGATAAGTGAGGAGGAGAGGCATGGAGGTTAATTAATTTACCCACAATCCCCGTCTCCTCCTCCTCATGTTTCCTGTCTGTTGAACACTGGGATGTGAGATCATTAACTGCTGCCCTGAAGCACACATCATTATTATGGGATGTGATGGAGGCTGCAGGATTTATTCACTTTAAAGGTCCCATGCCATTTCTACTGATCATAATTCCATCGTTGAGGTCTACTAGAATAGATTTACATTGTGTTCCAAACTCACATTGGTTTCTCACAGCATCTCTGTATAGTATGTGTATTCACTCTCTGTCCTACACGGCTTGTTGGAGCTCCTGTATTAGAGTTTTACAACAATCAACACATTTCTTTTCTTTCTCCAGTAACAGAATAAAAAAGTGAAAACATGAAAACGTCAATTATTCTGTAAGTAATTATAATGACAAGGTATCTTAAAATAATTTAAAGTAAAGTAATCTTAAGAGACTTAATCATTATTTTTAGAATTAAGGTCTTGTCAGATATTAGGTCAATTTATGGTCATTTTTATGAGATATTTAGTAACTTTAGTCTTTATCTTAAGAAATTAAGTCATAATTCAAGTAACTTAGTCTTTATTTTGAGAGATCAAGTCATTTCTATGAGATACGTAATCATTTTTATGATATTTTAAGTGGTTATTTTGAGATTTTAAGCCCTTTATTAAGATAGTAAGTCATTGCATGGAGATACTAAGTCATAATTTAAGTAATTTACTCTTTATTATGAGATTTGTAGTAATTGTTATGATATTTTAAGTGGTTATTACGATATTTTAAGTCCTTTATTAAGATTTTAAGTACTTGTTATGATATATTAATTCATTGAATAGAGATACTAAGTCATCATTTAAGTGACTTAGTCTTTATTTTTTAGATATGTATATGTACTGTCATGATATTTGAAGGGGTTATACAAGATTTTAAGTCATTTATTAAGATTTTAAGTCACTTTTATGGAGATATTAAGTCATCATTTAAGTGACTTGGTCTTTATTTTGAGATATCAAGTAATATTTATGATAATTTAAGTGATTATTTGGGGTTTTTAAGTCATTTATTAAGATATTAAGTAATTGTTATGATATATTAATTCATTGAATAGAGATACTAAGTCATAATTTAAGTGACTTAGTCTTTATTTTGAGAAATCAAGTAATTTTTATGATCATTTAAGTGATTATATCGAGATTTTAAGTAATTTTTAAGAGATGTTAAGTCATTTTTATGGGCTATTAAGTCATTGCATAGAGATACTAAGTCATCATTTGCCAGAGCCTTTTCTTATCAAGCTCCACATTTGTGGAATCAGCTTCCAGTTTGTGTTCGGGCGGCAGACACCCTATCCGTTTTTAAGAGTGCGCTTAAGACCTTCCTT